TGTCTCAGGGAGAGCTGACCACTTGGTGAGGGGTCCGCAGGAGCAGCACTTTGGGATTCCTGGGCTGGCCCGGCTCCTCAGCCTGACTCCCCAGCCTGACTCCCCAGCGCAGGTAGGAAGAAGCAGCAGGGCTGGGGATCTGGCTAGGGCAGAGCTGTGGGACTGCCCAGGCCCTGCCCAGGCTCAGGCCCCGTCTTGCGCATCTGTAGACCAGGGACTGCTATTGCCCAAGGCCAGGGTCCCTGCAGCCCTGCCCCTGAGGCGGCCCCTGTGCCCCCCAGGTGGCGCTGGAGACCACCATCGGCAACAGGAACGCAGCCCTGTGGAAGTATGTGCAGCCCGAGGGCTGCGTGCTGGAGTGGATCCGCAACCTGGTGGCCAACCGCCTGGCCCTGGACGGAGCCATCTGGACAGACGTCTTCAAGAGGTTCAACAGTGGCACGTGAGTGGCTCTGGGCCATGGCCCCACCCTGGACACAGCCCTCCTGCCACAGACCCCAGGGACCTAGGGGCTGGCAGGTGCTAGAGGCCTCTCCTGTTCTGCACCTGGAGGCCAGGGAGGCTGAGGCTTAGGAAGGGAAGGACACGCCCCCCACAGGCTCCTGGCTCAGGGAGGGGCCCTGGGAGCAGGGCAGGAAGGGCTCTGGAAAGGGGGCACGTGGGTGGCCTGGAGTGCAGACATGGCAGAGGAACTGGCCTTTGTCCTGACGGGTAGCTGAGGGCCGTTCCCAGCAGGCCAGCAGCAGGGGCCTGAGCGCCTGTGGGTACCTGCCTCACTGCAGTGCCAGGGTGAGGGCCAGTAGCCCCTGGGGGCTGGGCAGGGGCTAGGCGGGTGGCCCAGGCCGCTCAGTCCCCTGCTGGGCCCTCCAGGTACAACAACCAGTGGATGATCGTGGACTACAAGGCCTTTGTCCCCGGACAGACCAGCCCAGGGGGCAGGGTGCTCACGGTCCTGGAGCAGCTCCCGTGAGTACCTCTGGGTGGAGGCCCCGCCTGGGTGGAGGCCCTGGTGGCGAGCCTCGTGGGAGGGCTGGGGTCCCTGAGATGGGAGGGGCGGCTGGTGCAGCCAGGTTGGTCCCTGCAGGCAGGGGGCCAGGGCCCTGAGCCAGGCCTGCTCTGGGACCCCTCCTGACGGCCTCCATTCTGTCCTGCCCAGGGGCCTGGTGGTGGTGGCTGACAAGACCTCGGACCTCTACGAAATGACCTACTGGGCCAGCTACAACATCCCGTAGGTGCCCCGCCCGCTCTCCTCCGCTTACCCGCGCCCCAGGCGCCAGGGCCAGGCCCTCCCCCTCCCTAGTGGTGTTAGCGCCACAGCAGGAACCAGGCAGGTCCTGAGGGCTTTGCGGTATAGTTACGTGACCTGGTCAGCAGCGTGTGAGCTGTACCCGACTCCCTGTGTGGCACCCATCAAAGGGTGCTGTGGGGTGGCCCAACCCAGGTGTGTGCCCAAGCTGGGTGACAGCTGCCACTCCCAGCACTCACTGCTTCGGTTGGTCCTGGTGACCCCGGGCCTGGGGGCCATCATCTCTGGTTTCAGGGGTGCAGAACCCAAGGCTCCGGGACGGCGCCCGCCCTCGCAGGCTGCAGAACTGGGTGGTGGGGCCAGGGTCCCAGCCATGACTGTGGCACCCCAGCCCGGCCACCCTGCCAGCCACCCAGAGCAGAGCCGTCCCCTCTGGGTCCCGGCTCCTGGGTCGTCATGACTGCTCTGGAGTGACCGCCTGCCTCCTCCTGGCCCGTGGCCCTGCCTCGTGCGGTCACTGGAGTCATGGTGACTCTCTTTGTCCCGCAGGGCCTTTGAGACAGTGTTCAATGCCAGCGGGCTGCAGGCGCTGGTGGCCCAGTACGGGAACTGGTTTTCCTATGACAAGAACCCCCGCGCCCAGATCTTCCAGCGGAACCAGTCCCTGGTGAGGGACATGGACTCCATGATCCGGCTGATGAGGTGGGCCAGGGGCGGGTCAGGGGAGCCTCCCGGGGTCACACCTCAGGACAGGCTGGGCTGGGCCAGTGGTCACAGTGCTTGCCAGCAGCAATTGGTGGCCCCGACCTGGGCCTGTGGCTGCCTGCAGATGCCTGGGCCCTGGGCCGTGACCTGTGCTGGGACAGGTGTGGCACTGGGAGGTGCAGGCAGACCTCCCGACCGCCCGCCTCAGGGCACCCTGTCCCTGGGGCTGCCAAACCCTCAGAGGGCCCGGACTGATGCAGACAGGTGGCTCAGGCACCAGAGTCCCAGGGACGAGACCAGGCAGGCCTGGCTCCCCGGGGGGTGGGGGTGGGGGGCTGCGCGAGGCCCCAGGAGCCCAGGGGCCGGCAGTGGGAGGAGCGGGCTTAAGACCAGGCCTCGCGGGGACCTATCCCCCAGGTACAACAACTTCCTGCACGACCCCCTCTCGCTGTGTGAGGCCTGCAGCCCCCAGCCCAACGGGGAGAACGCCATCTCCGCCCGCTCCGACCTCAACCCCGCCAACGGCTCCTACCCATTCCAGGCCCTGCACCAGCGCTTGCACGGGGGCATCGACGTGAAGGTGTGCGGCCCTGGGGCTGGACGGGCCTGGGGAGGGGTGGAGGCTGGGGGGCAGCAGCGGATGGGGTCAGGCTTGGCTCTGGGCTGCGATCGAGGTGACAACCCATTTAGGCTCAAGGTTAGGCTGGGGCTGGGGCTGGGGCTGGGGCTGGAGCTGCCCAGCGCCCAGGCTCAGCCACGTGCTCTGCCCCCAGGTGACCAACATGTCCCTGGTGAAGGTGCTGGGCCTGCTGGCCGCCAGCGGGCCCACGTGGGACCAGGTGCCGCCCTTCCAGTGGAGCACCTCACCCTTCAGTGACAAGCTGCACATGGGCCACCCTGACCTCTGGAAGTTCCCGCCCCTGAAGGTCTCCTGGGGCTGAGCCCGTCGCCTGCTGCCCCTGTCCTGCTGGCCCATAGGCACCCGCTGCCCCCGACCTGCCACATCCCTGCCACTATGCCCCACTGCCCCCAAGCTGGGCTGGGGCTGTCTGGGTCACTCCTGTCCTGGGGTCTCTTTCAAGGGCTGAGCACAGACCCGAGGGACTCAGAAAGACTCAGGGTCCCCACAAAGTGGGTGGCAGCCCCTGTGCCATCTCCTTTCTGCAGCTCCCTCCCTTCCTCCCGCTTCTGTCTCTGCCACCTCGGGGACTGTCCTTGTGCTCTGTCCACCTGAAGCTGAGGGAGAGTCCTGGGCTGCGGCCCTAGACCTCTACTGGGCCGGGAAGCCTGTTCCAGCCCAGCCTCCAGCCTCCTGCCTCCTGAGCGGCCTGGGGCTGGTGAGGGGCAGCCCTGGGGTCTAGGCACATCTCTGGCTGGTGTCGCTGCCCCAGGCCACAGCCCCTGCCTCCCACCCCTCGCCTGCTCCCTGGACAGCTTCCTCAAAGATAGAAACTTGAAACAAAACCAAAGTTTCTGGCCACTGGCGGCTGGAGGGTCTCGAGTGCCCTCTGTCCCCATGCAGGTGGGAGTGTGGCCCCGCGCTCCTGCCTGGTGTCCACCCCTCTCGGGCCAGGGGAGGCGGACTGCAGGCTGTGCCGCCATTAAACTAGAGAGGCGGTGGCTGCTGTGCCGCTTGGGTCGCAGGCGGCACCTCCCTCCCTGGCCTGGGCCCTGCAGCGTCCACCGTGCAGCCTGCTCATCCTCCATCTGTCCGTCCAGTCACTCACATGCCAGCCCACCTGCCCCTGTCCTTCCTCACGGCCATCCCTTTGTCCCTCCCTCCTGTGCAGCCATCAGAAAGGACCTGTTGTCACCCCCACAGTGGGTGGTGCCACCTCTGTCCCCCTCTGCTTCTCTGCATCTGCTTCCCTCTCTGTCCATCCGTGCCTCCTTGGGGACTCCGTCTATCCCATGCCCTGTCCCCCCTGAAGGCCTCCACCTTGCACCTCTAGCCGTCTGTCCACGTGTCCAGCCGTCCCAGGCGCCTTAGGAGCACCTGCTGTGTGCGGGTCCTTCCTGAGCCCTGCTGTGGGGCACAGACCAGTGCGGACAGCTCTCCCATCTGACCTCGTGTGGCCCGCCTGTGACAAGACTCCTGTGTTCCCCGCCCGGGGACGGACAGGGACAGCGTGCAGCCCCAGAGTTTCACCCCTGGGTTCGTCCTGGGCCCACTATGCTGGCTGTAGACTCCCCTCTGAGCCCCGGCCACCTCGTCTGTAAAGCAGGCAGTGACGTGTCCCTGGACTGTGACCAGGGTCCCTGCACGGGCCCTCGCACTTCACATTACCAACCCCTGCTGACCCTCAGCACCACGGGAGGCCCCGGCACCTTAAAGGGGAAGGTCCACAAGGCTCCCCGCTCCGTGAAGCTCGCCCCCAGGATGGAGACACAGCCGCTCGGGGAGAATAAAGCGCAGTGAGGCTGATCCGCCTTCTAACTGGCCTCCCGGTCCCTGTGTGTGGCCGTCCACATCGTGGGTCTCCTGCCCAGTACTGGGTGTTCTACCCCCAGCTGCTTTCCCAGCCCTTTAAGTTGCTGGCCTTGAACTTGGGGTCCTCCCGCCTCAGCCTCCCCAGTCGCTGGGGTCATAGGTGTGTGCCCCTGCGCCTGGGCACAATGTGGGGTCACAAAAGCCAACCCTGTGGCCCCGCCCTGGCTGCGGGGGTCGGGGTCATGGAGGGGGCTCAGCTCAGGGACGCTCTCCCGTTCCCTGTGCGCCTTCGTGGGGAGCAGGGTCCATGTTTCTGGAGGGTCTACACACTGGTTTCAAGTCCGCCCAGGTTTTCCCTGTCCCCGAAACCTGTGTCCAGGGTCAGATGACACCCCTGGGTGTGGGGCCACACCACTGGGCTCCCAGGGCCTCTGACCCCCGGGGAGGACTGGACTCAGGGTGAGGCCGGCCTCTGCGCCCTGCTCCAGGCTGGTTCTGCCCCCAGCACAGGTGGCCCGTGGTCAGCAGGGCTCCCTCACCATGTCCCTCACCTGGGGACGACCCAGCAGGGCGCAGAGGCAGGGGCGAGACCACAAGGGACAGAAAGCCTCACAGTCGCTGTGTCATAAATACATAGTTGTCTTTTCCAGTGAAAAAGTGCTCGTTAGAAAAAGGAGTAGCTGGCCTCCAAGAGGGCGGCCGAGGGCCCCAGGCAGCTGAGGAGGTAGGGCCCGTGGTCCAGGCCCCCAGTGGCACTCAGCTCCTCCCCCCCTCGGGGTCCTGGTGTCACTTGTAGGCAGTCATCCTAGCAGGGGTGGCCAGGGACAGCTGCAGAGCGGCCACACAGATGCGAGGTTCAGTCCATGGCTGCGCCTGCTGCTGCCCACCTGGTCCTTGGCCCAGTGGCCAGTGACGCAGGTCCAGGCTCACAGCCAGGCCCAGGGCACTGCACGTGGGACTTGGGGACTCTGGCCCCAGGGTGGTCCGGCCAGGGGCACTGCGGGTGCCCTCATTTTGGTAGGCCATTCTTCATGCCCAGCTGTTCCTTGAGGGAGCACAGCTGGGCCAGGCTGATGTTGCTGCCCCCACAGACGATGACCACCAGGTTGGGCAGCGGGGCGCGCAGCTTCCCCTCCCCCTGCAGTTTCTTGACCACGTGGCTGTAGACGGCGGCCAGGGCTGCCCCGCAGGCCGGTTCCACCAGGATCTTCTCGTCATCTGCCAGGGACAGTGAGGGATGGTGGGCCCAGGGGAGCGGCAGGCCGCTGAGGGGACTTGGGGGCAGCGAGCCAGTCGGCTCTGAGCCCCGGAAGGTCCTGGGCCGCGCCTCCCACTGTCACCCTCAACAGGGGCCCGGGTTTCGCCCTAAGTTGACATTGACTAGGGATCGCCATCGCCCAAGCCCCGGTTAAGGAGGGTCCTGAGGCACGGTCTGGGCGAGGGTGTCACAAGTGGTCACCTTCCACGAGTGGGGCGTTCCAGGTGAGGATGGGAGGCAGGGGACTGGGGTGAACGGGACCCCATGGTGCACCGAGGACAGTGGCACATACCCACAAACTTCTCGATGGCGGCCACAGCCTCCTGGTCCGAGACCACTTCAGAGAAGATGGGGTGCTCCCGAAACAGCTTCAGGGCCTGCGCGCTCACCGTGTTCACACCCAGAGCCTTGGCAACGCTGGCCGGAGCCGGGCAGCAGACAGGAAGGAGGCAGGGACGGGTGGGGGAGACAGGGTGGCTGTGAGCGGAGCCACAGCAGGTGGCAGGGACCCCAGATGGCGGGGTCTGCTGCGCACAGATGATTTGGGTCGGGGTCAGCAGTGTACATCTGTGTTGGACACTCGAGCAAAAGCACCCTGCCACCCCCACGGGAACCCCGCTCTGGTCCACCCAGTCAGTCCTCGCTGAGCCTCGCGCGGCCCTGCCGCCCCCTCCTGCCCTGTCCCTAAAGGCTCAGGGTGAAGGCTGCCTCCTCCAGGACGTCTTCCAGGGCTGCTCGGACCCTGACCTCAGGTGGCCCTGCCCACTGCAGCATCAGGCCAAGCACTTCCCCAGCGTCAGGGAATTGTGCTGTTATTCGTTGGTTTGACTTAACAGGTGGGAAATTGAGGCAGAACCTGCCGCCACTGCCCAAGGTCCACATGCCCAGGGACTGGCAGCGCTGGGGCTCTGAGCAGGGTCCATGTGACTCTGGGACCTTGCTGGAGGCTGTGTGGACACTCTCCCAGCCTCCCTGGGTGGCCACCGGTCCTATCCCCAGCTCATCTCCCAGGAGCATCTTGAGGGCGCCCCCGTGGCCCTAAGGCAGTTTACAGTAGGTGCTCAGCAGCGGCTTCTGCGCCAACCTGGCCGCGGCAGAGACCAGCCCGGCAGCCTCTAGGGAGGCCGGCTGGGAAACCCAAAGGTCCCCCGGGGCTCAGGCTCCCCTGTGCGCGCTGCCCTCTCTTCTAGCTGCCCCAGGGATGCCTGGCGCGAGGACATCTCCCCGTCCCCTGCAGCCAGGCGCGGCCACCTGACTAAGTTCTGGCCCGTGAGAAGTCATCGGAAGCACATGTCCCCAACTTGCCATGAGGTGTGCTTCACCAGGGAAGTGACGCACTTGGCGGAGACCGTCCTTGGAATCTTGGTTTGGACCTCTCCCCAGAGCATGGATTTGAGGTGCCATCCTTTCCTGCGGTGCCAGGCAGTGGCACACAGCTCTGGTCAGCTGATGGCAAGGGCCACCCGCTCTACGGCACTGTGCTGCTAAGTGGGGTGTCAGGTTGGATGTATGCAGCTCACATTTGACTTGAAATATTTTTAACAAATGATGGTTTATCAGGATGTCACCCTGGAGCAGTTATAAATCAAGGAACAGCTGCGCTTTGTGTCTTTAAAGGTGAGCGCCTAACCTTCTCTCCCTGCTTCCTTCTTCCTGCCTGATGGAGCGTGGACGTGATAGTTGGCATGCAAGCCACCATTTTGGACCATAAGGCCACATGCCAAAGACAGTAGAGCGAGATGCCCAAGGAACACTGGTCCCTGACTTTCTGGAATGGCTTCTGGATTTGCCACCTCTAGACTTTCATAGAGAGAAATCAAGTTCCATGTTGTTTAAGCCACTCACTGTCTGTGACCCCTGACGAGTGACCAAAGCCTCGGGCTCCTCGCTGTGCAGTGGGTGGCCCCAGGAGCCAGCTCCCAGCCACCCTGAGGGAGGCTCCCCGGGGGGCACCTGCGGGCTCTCACCTGGTGATCCTGGGCAGGGAGACCAGCTTGCCCGCGGTGGTGGCGGCATGGAAGCTGTGGGCACCCATGGTCTCCATGGCGATGACAGGCACGTCCCCCCAGCCCACCTCCTGCAGCCCCTGGACCACTCCGCACAGCAGGCCCCCGCCGCCCACGGACAGCGCGATGGCGCCCGGCTTGGTGCCCAGGCTTTCCTTCAGCTCTCTGATGAGGGAGGTGTGGCCTTCCCTGGGGAGTGGCACCAGTGACAGGTCAGCGCTGGGCTTCCTGCAGGCACCCGGCAGGGCCCGGGGCACCCTGGCAGGTGGGTCAGCACGTGCTCTGGGGCTGGGCAGCTGGTCCCCTGCTCCAGGTGCCACCCTGACACCAGCCGCCAGGCTCTGTGTCTGCTTGGGGCCTTGCTCTGGCCACCAGTGCCAGCTACGAACGTGGCAACCGGCAGGGCTGAGAGGCCAGTGGCCAGGGCTGTGGGGCCGCTCCACACAGCTCCCAGGTCCCCGAGGGCCACCTGACTGCAGGACGCCTTTCCCTGGGCTTCCTCCCACTGTGCTCTCCCGTGGACAGGTCACGGGCACAGCCACGAGAACCGGCATCTCGCGTGGTGACGAGCATCGCAGCCCAGTGGTGCCCGGGAGTGGCCGCCCGCGTGCCAAGTGACCCCAAGCTGCACTCACCAGATGAGGGGGTCATCGAAGGGCGGGACGTAGACCCAGCCGGGGTTGTTCTTGGCCAGCGCCTTGGCCATCTCGAAGGCCTCGTCCAGCGTCTGCGAGGTCGGGGTGGGGACAGTCAAGGCGATGGGCCTGGTCGGCCGCCCGTGCCCCAACAGCCTGAGGGTGGGCACTCACCTCGCCCACCACCTCCACCATGGCGCCTTCCCCCTTGAGCCGCTCCACAGTGAGAGCCGGTGTGGTGCTGGGCACGACGATGGTGGCCGGGATGCCCAGCTTCCTGGCGGCGTACGCGGCCGCCATGCCTGCATTGCCCGCTGCAGGAGGGGTGGGCTGGAGGTCAGCACCCGAGGGCCAGGACTGCTGGCCCTCCACCTACAGCTCGGGCCTCCCCACACCCCACTGGCCTCCTCCTGGAATTCCAAACCCGGCTACTGCAAAGGTTTGCCACCCATCATGGCTGGGATACCCAGGGCCCAGAGAGGCGAAGCACCTGGCCTCAGCACACACAGCAGAGGACTGGAGGGGGAGGCTGGTCACTTACCAGAGGAGCACACAAAATGCTCACAGCCTTGCTCAGCCCACTGTGGGGAGAAGAAGGGAAGGGTCAGGTCCACCTCCATGTCTTTTCTTTCTTTTTTGTGTACTGGGGTTTGAATCCAGGGGAGCTCTGCCCTGGATCTACCATCCCAGCCCTTTTAATTTTGAGCAAGGGTATCACTAAATTGCTGAGGTTGGCCTCAAACTTTCAATCCTCCTGCCTCAACCTCCCAAGTTGCAGGGATGACAGGTGTGCCCCAGCAGGCTTGGCCTGCCTTCTCGTTTTCGCCTGGGCTCCTCCCTCCCCCTCG